AATGGGGCTGAGGGGAATTTGCGGGGTGAGAGCACATTTGGCTCAGGCCCATCTTTTCACCAGATGCCTTTTCTCATTGGGAGGCAGTTGTTCTCACAAAGAGGCTCCTGTGACTGCTGCCCCTGCCTAACCGGATTGTGAAGACTTTTGTTGAACTTTTCTTCTTCTTCTTTTTTTTTTTTTCAAACTTTTTCCTTGGGACATTGTCAAAAGCTGACTGCTCTGCTCTGGATCATGGCTGTGTCTGGTGCAGCATGGATTAGGTCAGCTCTTCCTTGTGGGACCAAAGTGGAGGAATGTGGTTTAACTCTGAACCTCCATCTCGCAGCCAAAGCAAATCCTGCCGATAAGAAAAGGGGGGAATTTCCCTCTCTGCACAACCACAGCTTGCACATTGTGTCCTGATCTTATGCAAGAGTGGAAGAGTTTGCTCTCCTTGTCTGAGTATTTCATCACCACCATCCCGTGGTGTTATATCATGCTGTTCAGTGACACGCAGCATCCCCTTCATGAGCTGGCAAAGATTTGCTTTCTCTTCTGCAGTCCTGGTGTGAGCCACACAAGATGCAATCCTCAGGAACAGAAAACCCAAGCTTGGAGCTGGCACAGCAACTCAAACACAGCAAATCCCACACCCCCACCAGTTGCCAAGCACTGCTTCAAGAGTCGTTTCACGCCCCTTCTGCTGCACTGTTATCAGGGAATGCGTTCCACCTTGACAGACATTTTTCCTTCCACCAGACAGTGCCTTACCAGCTACCAGTGCTTCATCTTGTTGTTTGCAGACTTCTCTGGATCTGTCTGGAACTGGGAAGCACCTTCACAGTCCTGCTTCTCCAGCAACCATCCATCCCTCTGGCATTGCACTGCCTGCATGAGCAGCTCCAACTGGGGCAAAGCCCATCCTGAATGTTCTGCTTCCTGGGAATACTGCTGAGTGTATACGTTGTCCCTCCCCTAGGATTGCCAGCAGCCTGCAGCTCTGATAAATGATTCAATTAGGATGTTATCTTACGGGTTTCCTCTTAATGAAGAAGCTGCCTGGCAGTGTGCTAGCTGTTGCTGCAAGCAGCCGGGGAAGGGCTCCTTGCTCTCCCTGGGTGCCCGTTTTACTGCCTGCCCTGTTAATGGGCCACTCAGCCACAGACAGGCGTGGGAATGTGAAGCCCCAGGAATGTGGCTGCACAGGCAGTTCTGAGTTAATAGGGAAACCAGTGAACTGATAAGATAAGGCAAATTGGTGTGGGGCAATAAATGGAGAACCATGGCTCTGTGCCCTAATGTGCTGTCAGGAGGAGCCTGGAGAGGTGCTCTGCTGAGACACCCGTGCCATGGTGCTGACACAGGGAGCTGGCACAAGCACCAGTGTGAGCACCATCCAGCCCAGCCATCACTGCTAGTGAACCAGTGAGAAGTGCCGTGCGAGAGTTCAACTTTCTGCCTAGCAAAAACACAACAAAGTGCTTTGAGCTGCACCCACTCGAATTTTTTGTTTTGAAGATTTTGTCTCCAATACTTTTAAATAGTCTCAGAGGGGGAGAAACAATAAGGTTATTGTTTTTGTCCTTCATTTTCCTTCCCCATGTGGCTGACTGCATTGCTGTGAGCAAGACTGCTTATGGCCCTACACGGGTAGCTGTGTTCCTAAGGGCTCTGCAGCTGCGTGCAGCTCCTCTGCCCCATTTCCTTCTCCCCCCTGGATCTTGGCTGGCTGGGAGAGTTTTCTCTTCTGGGAATGTGATGTGATCACTGTTATTTGCAGCTTGGATGGAAACCCTGCCTGCTGACATGATTTGTGGGAGTCTCCCCATGCTGACTGCCTGTGTTCCAAAATTCCTTGTCTGCTTGGAGTGTGTTTCCCTGCTGGGGCCGAGGAGGAAGGTTTTCTACAGAGAGAGCTGCCTGGACCTCCTGCTACTTACCTCACTTTCTGCAGCTCATCTTCTGGTGTGTCTGTGCATCCTCCCCCAGCATCTGTGGGGCTGCTGTGCTTTTACCCATTTTCTATCCTTTTTCCGGGGCTCCTGGTCAAGAGTGGTGGAACGATGTGTGCTGTAGTCCCTGTCCTGCAAAATCAGCTGAGACTGGATGAGCCAGAAATGGCCCAGGGAGCCTTGAAACGCAGAGACCTGCAGCTGGGTTCCTCCAGGACTCCAGCATCACCTCGGCCCTAAAGCCATTTTTTTTTTCTGTTGCTGTTACATCTCCTTGCTGCAGCTTTGTGTGCTGCTACAGTGGAAGGACTCTGAGCTCGTGACCAAGGCTAGATTTCTGCAGACGCGTCCTCTTGTATCACTAACACAAGCTGCCTGCCGTGGTTGGAGCAGGCTCTGGGGCTGTTTTCTTTGGAGTGGGTTTCAAGCTGTTCCTCAGCCACAGGCTGATGTCTAGCAAACTGATGAACCAGCATGTGCTGCTGCCTTCTATGGAGCTGCAAGATGTGGCAGCCAGGCTGGGTGGGATGGGATGAGGGGAACCAACCTCCCTGCAGTGCTCCTTCCTCGTCATCCTCTTCCTCTTTTGCTGCAGGATCTCGCAGCATCTTTTCCTTCCTTCTTGCAAGGGCAGAGCTAGCAGGCTGTGCAGAGCATGGGGGGAGCCCCAGGCTTTGGGCAGCCTCCGTGAGAGGCACTTCAGTCAAGAAGCAGCAGGAAATGGGGAACTAACGTGCTAGAGTTCTAGTGTTGTTTGGTGGGATCATGTGGCTGGGAGCAGCTCTGGCCAAAGTCCCTGTCCAGGCACGTGTGCATGAGGAAGCTGTGGCCTGCACGTCCGTGCCTTGGAGGCTCCTGGTGTTCAGATCCTCAGCTTGCACTCAGAAACGAGAGGAGGGGAGCTCTTCCAGTGACTCAGGACTCGCACTGCTAACAGCAATCAGATGTCAGTATTTGTGGCTTGTTTTGTTTTGCTCGTCCTGCACCAGTCACAAGCTCTGAGGAGCAGATCCAAACAGGAAGATCAGGGTTCGGGCGGTCAGACCCCGTGTGACACAGTGCTGGGGCTCACAGGGTGACGGGGCTGTTGGGACGTCCTTTGTTTTGAGGGTTGGTGGAAGAATGGGAGGTGAATGCATGCCAGGGGAGCTCTTTGCTGCAAGCTCACTGAAGTTTATAGTGGAAAGAAGCTGTAAGCACAGCGCGGTGTCGTCCTGGTTTGGAGATGGTTTGTTTTCATTTTGAAGAGAATATCTGACAGCTTTTTTTGGTTTTCCTGTTGTGTTTGGGGATTTTTTTTTTTTTTTATCTTAGTGTAGGAAAAGCGCCTCCTTCCTTCTGTCCCCTCTTCACCAAACCTCAAGAATTTTATCCTGGTGCATTTGAGATCCAAGAAATAAAGTATTCAGGTTTTGCACGTGCCAGAGCTGAGGTGCTGTATGGACAAAAGGGGCTCAGTTGCATTGTTACAGTACTTTATCCAAGCTTGTGAGTCATAGTGGAAGAACTGACAGCCATTAGCTAGGAGCAGATGCCCCCTCTAAGTGTGGAAAAATAAGTGCTGAAGGTCAAGATCCATGAAAACCAGGGGGCCAGGCAGGAGGACCTGCCCCAGGGGTGCTGAGACCCCCATGCCTGACCCATATGGGCATGGGGAAGGATTTCCCAATGTTTTGTGCCCAAGCAGCAGGTACAAGGGAGCATAGTTTGTCTCTCTGTCTGCTCAATGTTGCCCTCCCTCCAGGGCTGCCCACAGATGTTTCTCATGGGGGTGCCATGGGATGGATGATTGTCTCCTTGGTTGTGTTGTTTTCTCTTTGCTTTAAATATTAATTGTGCCAAAGGAGAATTAATGTATTGGCTTCATAGATGCTTAGGGCAGTTGCTGGGCAGATTCTCTATAGTGCTTCCATAGGTGTTTAGATATTAATGCGGAATGCAGTAGGTTCAACAGGAAAGGGTAAAACCAACTTTGGAAACCCTGGAAACCACAGTGCTCTGTGGGTGATGGGAGAAAGTGCTCAGATCCATGCCCCAGAGAAAGCAAGGGAGAACTTGCATCTCCATCCCATTCCTTCCAAAACAGAGAGTAGCAGAACTGCAGGATGGATGGATCAACATACAATCATTAAGATTGGGAAAGACCTCTAAGACAATCTAATCACACCACCAGCCCAGCCTCACCATGCCCACTCACCCACATCCTTCAGTGCCACATCTCCTCATTTCTTGAGCACTTCCAGGAACAGTGATTCAACCTCCTTCCTAGGCACCCCATTCCAATGCATTACCACTCTTTCTGAGAAGAAATTTTTCCTAACATCCAATCTGTTAAAGTGCAAAATCCAATACAAATGGTGTTTTCCAGCAAGGGAAGTGCTGCAGATGTAGATCCTGCTGGGTGTTAAGCTCCATGGCAACTGCAGGGGTGTTGTGTGCATGCCCTTGAAGCACCAGTGCAAATGCCAAATGGACACCAACAGGAGTGGGAGTTGTCTGTCACCTCCTTTTGCTGATTGAGCTTACTGAGTGCCTTCTCTGTGCAGTTGCATTCAATCAGGAAATTATTTGTTCAGTGCTGAGATTCTTTTAAACCAGTCTCTAAAAATTGTGTAGCACGAAGTGTTCTCCAAAGTTGATGTATTACTTTATGGACTTCTGGGCAAACGGAAGTTTGTGCTCTGATTCCAAGCCAGCCGTAGCCCAAGAGCTCTGTCAGTGCTGTGCTATGCTTGAGTTAATAAGCTTAAAATACACCTATTTTGGGGAGCTTCTCAGCCCTAGTTGCTGAGATCCATTGGTATGACACTTAGTAGTTGCAGAAATGCAGGTGTAGTCACCCATGCTGAGCCAAACAATGGTGGTGAGGGCAGCAGTGGTGAGAAGTGACTTGAAAATAGAAATAGTGGTAAAATCTTGTGCATCACCCTGGCTGATTGTGTTTTGTACAATATCTCAGGACACTGTTGTTTTGGAGAACAGTCTCAGCCTCCTCCTGGGGAGCAAGGCTTTGCACTGTGTGCAGATTACTGACTTTAATCACATTTTCTTGCATTTCTTTTCTAGATGCAAATGCTGGACAAGTTTCCAATGGAAGGAGGGCAGAAGGATCCCAAACAAAGGATCATCCCCTTTCTGCCAGGTAGGAGAATACGTTCCTGCAAAAATCATGCTGGGTTTGGCATGGCTGTGAGCTTTGTCTCATACTGTGCCCGTTATAACAAACAAACAAACAAACAAACCTGTGTACATAGTGGCTGTTAAACCCCTTCCCACTCTCTCCAGCAATCATTATTGGGTGACATCAGCCTCTTGTACAGCTTCTGCTAGGAGCAGCCCCACAGCAGTTTGCAGGAGGGGCACAACACAGTGCTGAGCACAGCGTGAGGCTCCCCTGGAACCACTCGTTTGCTGTATTTCCTGTCCCCTCTAATTTGGAGGGCTATCCAGAGGGATGAAATGACAATTGAATTCTACATATTAAATCAAACTGGTTGGCAGCTTCAGCTTCCTCCCATGATGTTTGGGGTTGCTCAAAGAAAGGATTTCTGTGGCATGACACGTGCCCTACAGCCCAACGTGCTGCTGAGGATTTGTGTGCCCAAGTAACAGATGCAATTGCCCATTTCAGACTTTGTGGTGCAGGGGATTGCTTGTGGCTGCCCTTTGAGGCCGATGTTAGGGGGGGGAAAGCCTAACGTGCCATGCAAAAATGTCCAAACTGAGGGCATCCTGGGAGTCTTTTGTGCACCCATAACTAATGGGTTTGACCACAAAGTTGTCCTTCCCTCTTCCACAAGTAGCTAATGGGCATATTTAGAAATGTCACGGTATCATAATCACTTCCAGTGACTGTCAAGCTCATTTAATGTAGCCCTTTGTACTGTGTTCTGCCTCCTGGCTTTTCAAGAAACACAAAGGCATTCAGTGGGGTTTAGTTTTCTCTGATTGGCACAGAGAAAATCATTTACACACCACTCTGAGTAAGGTAATCTTGTCTGGATTTCCCATAGGGAGATTAGTGATTCTGGCTTGTCCTTGAGCTGTAACATCAGCAAAGCACACCTGACATGAAAGAGCCCTTGCTGCACCGCTACTTCTGCCAGCAAACTAAACTGCCAAAGGGCCTAACTTAGAAAAATTGGACTTAATGTTTGGCTAAGCTGTACTTACAAATTCTCACCAAAATACTGCTATTTTTGGAAGGTAGTATTGCGCTCAGGAGGCCTGATTAGAGCCCTGCTTTTAACAGCATGCTCATTGATATTTGTTTCTTCTTTGTGTTGAAATAGTTTTCCTTTGCTGAGAGGCTGTGGTTTCCATTGGAGGAAGAAAGGTGTTGAAGTTGCTGGAAGAATAAAGTCTGGGTGTTGTGTAATAAAGAGGTTGGAGAAGTTAAGATGACCATGCTCTGTAGGAGCTTGTGTATTTCTTCTGTGGAGGTGTTTGCCCTTTTGCTCTAGTGCCCTTTTTGCAACAGGATTAAGTTATACAGCTTCCCTGTTTGGAGCATTGGTGAGTTTTGTTGCATGCAACAGAGCTAGGACTTCACCTGTCTGTGCAAGGGGTGCTGCCCACCTGCCCTCTGAGTGAGCTTGCTGCACAGCCCTGGGTCTCTCTCTCTGCAGAATGCTGCTCTCATATGCTCAGACTTGAAGGTTTTTGTTCAGCTTCTGGGAGTACTGTAGTTTTCTTCCAGTCCCATTTTGAGCAACATTTTTAGCATCTGAATTTCATTACAAGTGGAGATTTGGCTCCAGAGGCTTGCTACAAGTGTGCTGCTGCCTGGGAGATGGTTGTAGACCAATGTTAGACACTGCGGCCACTGAAGTTCTCCAGTGTCTCCTGTGACGCTGTGCTTCATGCAGCTCTGGCTTTCCTGGCAAAGCCCTCAACCTCCCAAACTCAGGGTCACCCCCACGATATGAGGAGGTGCCATCTGGGTTTGTTCATCAGGCTGCTTTCCTGGAATGGGAAAAGATCTCCGTGACTGCTCTGTAGTTACAACATCCAGCACGGAGGAAGTCTGTTTGCGTTGTGTCACTTTGTTTCACTAGTGCTATTGGTTTCGAGGATTTGCTTCTTGGAAATTTCTAGATACTTTGGGACTTTTGAAGTGTATCAGAAAACACTTTTGTAAGTGCCAAGTCCTTCAGCCCACTCAGCTCTTTGGAAACAAAGCCATAAAGCCAGGTTCTTCGAAGGGGAGTGGAATCAGTTACCGTGTTTGAGGAGTTAGGGGCCGGGTTGTCCCTTCCCAGGTGTAAGCACCACACTCCTCCATAGCACAGCTTGGTTGGGTCGGATTCAGCCTCTCTGCAGCTGCAGCACTGTGCCTGGAAAGCCTCTGCTGCCATATAGGGGAATCTGAAGTGGACTCTTGGCTACTTCTGCTGGCTTTGAGTCACTGGCACAGCCTGCCCAGCATCGTGTGGTGCTGAGAATGGCCCTTTGAAACAGTGCTGGCTGCACCCAAATCGTGCATGAGATCGCCTGTGGTCCCTGGGGCAGAGCCAGGAGCCACTGGTGGGAATGAAGGAATGAAGGCCCCAGGGGATGCTGTGCCTGCAGGATCTGTCCCCGCCTGCAGGACTTCCCGCTAAGGGTTACGTGTTTGCTGGCTGGGGAGATGGTGGGATGGAGACCCCAGGAAAGAATGAACTAAGAAAACAAATGAGCTCAGTTGGGCCAGTTGTGTAAGGGCTGCGCCAGATCTTTCAGGAAACAGCTTTTATAAGGAGAGCAGAGCCTTCCAAACACCGTACAGCCCAAGTGGCCTGGAGCTGATCCTGGCCAGCTTGCTTTGCTGGAAACGTGAATCAGGCAAGGAGGGTTTGCCTGAGGCTGAGCTCACTTTGGCTGTAAAATTGCTTTTCAGGAAGCTTTAGCTACAGACAATAGCAAACTCCCAAGAGAGAAGGAGAGGAAGGAGGATTTGGAGGGATCATTTTAAAAAGCAGAAGGATGCCTCCTTTCTACTCTCTTCCAGCCTACTGACCTCCTTGGTGCAGGTGTCACTGCTACCCACATCTTTCAGGGCTCTTCTCCAAGGACAGCTGTGAGATTTTTAACAGCTCCCCACAAAGACCTTATGAAGGAGATGGAAGACATCTCATCCCTTGCCCAGCTATGGTACCTGACTTTCCCCAGTCCCACTGCATCTGCTCAGAGCTGTAGGGGGACAAATATCTTAAATACTGTTTTCTGTTCTAGCTAGATGGATGTCTCTGCCATTGCACGGTTGTGTGGACAATCCCAGGCTGATTTGCAGCCCACAATCTGTATAGCTGTCTTTTCTATAGGGTTTCAGTTGATTCTGCTGATCTGCAGTGTTAACAGTCCAGTGGGGAAGCAGTTGCTCTGCTTCTGACCTTTGAGCTGTGTTTAGCAAACACAGTTCGGGGTGTTGGACTCAATGATCTTTTGAGGTCCCTTCCAACCCCTGCAATTCTATGATTCTGTTTTTCTCCTTTACATGGCTCTGCAGACCCTAAGGTTCAATGCCTTTAGAAGCAGGTTGATTCAGGGAACTCTTGCATCTCTTGGTAGGCTGCTATGTTGATGGTTTGCAGTAGTGCTTTCAAGAGGATTTTGAGGCATATTTCTATGCAGTTCCACTCTCTTTCTCGTGGAGAATAGCTGCTGAGTCTGATGGAATAGCCAGAATTCACAAGGAGGGGGCTGCCTTTCCTCCTCCTTTTTGTTCCTTTCAACCATTTTTCTTATCAGAGATCTTTTTTCTCTCTTTTTTTTTTTTCTTCACTGGAAGGATAATGAGGCCTTTGCTGTCCTGCAAGTAGCAGAGAGCATGAAAGCCAAAATACTGAGGTTTACTGCAGAACTGGGTGGGGAAGAAAAAGCACCATCAGGCTGATCCAGTAGTGCCCTGAAGAGCTTTACTGTTTTAGTGCGGACCAAAATCCTTCTTCGTGTACCCACAGGAGCCTCAGTGCTCCTCCCTGTCTTTTCTGCCATGGATGTGTCATCTCTTTGGATCTGTTCTTCTGGCCATCTCACCCCATTGCTGAGGCTTTGCCAAACAGATGCTAAGTACAGGGCTCCTGGAATTGCTGTCTCCCACACCTGCTTCCCCATCCATCCTAGGAATAGCCCACATCATTGCCTGTTCCATGGGCTGGGACTAATTATGTATACATTTGGGGCTGCCTTTTTTTTCCCTCCTTTTTTTTTTTCCTTTGAGTTGAGTTTGGAACCTGTGCCAGGGAAAATCTGGATGTGATTTGAAAGGTGCAGAGAGATGTGAATTCTTTCCGAAGCAGTGGGGCAGGGGGAGTCCTTCAGGGCAAAGCAAAAAGGCACAGACGTTTTTCCAGTCTCTAAATCTCTGGCTTCTCTCGTAACTGTGATCAGCAGGGTGAAGGTTTTAAGGTTGCCTGCCCCTCCAGCTTGCTTGAGATCCAGTAATAGCCTCTGGCTTAAGAAGATCCTCAACTATTTGCTATGAAATTCTTCTGCATCCTTTTCTTCTGCTCCCTGCTCCTGCCCCCTTTGCCTGAAGAATTCCCATGGATGGGAGTAACTAGCACAGCCTTCCTTCCCTACCTGTTTGCTTAGAGAGATGGATCCCTCTCGTGGGCTGCCTGCTCTGTCTCGTACCATGTGGAGACCCACATCCTTATCAACCCTTTGCCCAGCTGTGCTCTGACACTGTGCAGTCCCTGATGAATCATCACTCTCCAGCCCTCTCCTGAGCTCCTGCAGCACCCTTTGCTCTCAGTCCATCAGATAAAGTGATTTTGATTATCCACAAAGAGTTGTGTTTTTTTTGCCAGTCCTAGGAGAGCGGAAACTTTCTGACTCCAGTGGGTTTTTGTGAGCAGAGCTCGTGTACTTCCAGCATCCTCCTGCTCCTGTCCAGCTGGGTACAGAATGGCCCAACAGTGTTATTTCTGCTGTCAAAGTGCTCAGCCCAGTGATGTGCAGCTTAAATGCAGAGGGGCAACCTCTGTTCCTGTGAGTTTCCTGCTGGGTGGGGAGTAAGAGGAAGCGGGTTGTCTCCCTATGTCCTGACTGCCCGTTGTCATTGAAGCGCTCTTGTAATGGGGTTTTGTGGGGAAAGGGAGTGTTGAGATTGCAGGAAAGGAAAGCCTTAAGGAGGGGTTTGACAGAAACCATGCCAGCGGCATGGCTGTATTTCTAGGAATGGTCCTTAGGGTGAGACACAGCATGGGACAAAGCATGAAGATGCTCACTTACAAATCTCACTTACAAATCCATAACTTGGATATGGCATGAGACAAGCAGAAATCAGATTCATGCTTTAAACCGGTTGGAAGTGAAGATACCTCTCCCAACTTTTTGTGCATCATCTTTTGTTGTCCTGTACATGTCCCTTCATCCCTGGGCACATGTATGGCTCTCTTTGGGCAGCCAGCCAGCAGCTTACAGTAACTGATGACAGTGACATTTGGAAACTGCCATATAATTGGTAACAGGAGATGTTGTCTGCTGTGTTCAGCTCTTCCTTTTGCTGCCCTGTCTCCAGCTACCAGTACTGCTAGGTGGAAATGGACAGGCACATTGCTAGGCTTTGTTGTGGGAGTGCATGAGGCTCACAGGGATGCATTGGATGGATTTGCTGCCTATCCATCATGTTGAGTGAATTCCTGACAATGGTTGCCTCTGGCCGTGGTAGGTGGAAATGAGTGACAGTGTTGGAGGGGCAGGAATGTCCCTGCAGAAAAGGGGAAAAAAAGGAGGAGCACACCTACACAGAGCTGTGTAGCAAAGGAGCATCGTGTCCCAGGAGGCTGTGAGCTGTGTTCACTGATGGAGTCTGAAAGCAGCATCAAGGCTCTCGGTGGTTTTCCAGGCTTCCCTCCCAGCAAGGCAAAGAACAATATTGGCTCCCTCCTGTCTGCAGTGAGCTTAGGGCAGGGAAAGAGGAAATGGAAGCACTGGAACAAAGTGAGCACCAGAGCTGATCAGATTGTATCAGTAGGTCAGAACGGGAAGGAGAAGAGGTCAGGCACAGCAAGGGGAAAGAGCAGGAGGAGTGCCTGCAGCTGGCATCAGGTACCTTTGGTAGTTTTCCCCTTTGGTGAATCCCCTGCCCAGGGCTGCCCCTCGTGGGGGTGTTTGTGGGAACAGGGGGCAGCTGGGGATGCTGTGATGGAGGTCCCTCATTTGTCCCAGCTGTTTTTGTGTTATGCATAAAGCACACAGTGGGTGCTGGAAAGCCTGGCATAAAAAGCTGAGTAATTTCAGTGTTTTTATGGTGAAGTTTGATTTTGTCTTTGATGTCTTATTGATGTAAATATTTATGGTGTCTTCCTTCTTTCTAAATGAAACTAATCCTTGTTACTTCAGAGCAATCCTATAATAATAAACCATTCTTCACCGCTCAGTCCTCCTCAACAGCTGCAAAGAGCCAGTAAGTGTGTGAACATGGTACCAGGTGTAGATGGAGACGTAGGTAGGGAACATTCTCCCACTCCTGCACTGAAAATAAGTGAAAAGAGACTTCATTTGCTTTGATTTCTAAGGAGTTGCTTACATTTCAGCTTTCCTTACAGTTTGATTCCCTCTAACTGTAAAGCATGCGTTGTACTAGTCACATTCCTCCAGTCAGAATACTAATTAGGAATAATAATGCTGCCAGGTTACTCTTGAAGAACATATGTTTGCAAGACACCTAACTTCTGCTGTGAAGCAAATACATATCAAGGAAGGCAGGTGTGATGCTTCAGAGCAACTACAGTGATAGTGAGGTAACGTAGCACTTCACAAATGTATTCACTGAAGAAAGAACACTTCCTAAATTGTCAACTTGCTCGACATATTCCCTGGTGATAAAAATCGGCTCACAGCTTTGTGTGCATGAGGGGCATTGTATTTTACTGCACTTCCTCCTGCAATGACCTTTCTTGTGCAAATGAGGGGAGAGTCGTTGCTCTGTTTGTGCGTGCATTAACACTAAATGCAGGTAAGTAGGAAAATGGAATTATTTCTAAATGCTGGAAATGTGGCAGCAGTGAGGAGGTGATGGAGATTGCAGCAGCAGTGAGATGTGCAGAATTGCCTTCCTTTGCATTGTCCCACCTGTACTTCTCGTGCTGGGGCTGAGGGCAGAAGCTGTGGCAAGGAGGGATGCAGATAGGACATGAATAATGCCATGCACTTGTCTTGCACTGTATGGTCTTCAGCCACGTGAAAGGCCCCAGTGGCAGCACTCTTATTCCCATTTTGAGGGTAGGGTCTATAGAAAGTGTGCCCGGGAAAACGCTGCATCTCATTGACCCAGGAGGGAAGTAATTTCCTGCTCTCTCTTGCTTTACAAGTAAAGGATTTAGACAGCTGTATTTGGCAGCACTGGAGGGCCTATAATTATGTTAATTAGGCATTTTGATGGGAAAACAGCTTTCTGTTAGAAAATAAACTTCATTGTTGAAGAATACTAGATCTAGAGCCAGTCAAGCGACGAGCTGGGTTTCCTGCTGTTTCATATGCTCTGTGCCTGGGCTAATTTAAGATCACTTCAGTTGTTGTGATGTATTTATTCCCTCATAACTATATTCTTTTTATTATTATTCACTAACATCTGTTTGTTAAACATTTAAATATTCCCACACCCAGAGTGTGTTATTTTAGACACTTATAATATGCACACCCATCAGTGATTTTGGCAGACGTAAGAACTGAAGAGCCATTCTTTACAATTGGCAACAAAACTATTTCTATCAATTCATCTTTTTAAAAATCATCAGTCATTCAAATAGAAATATGTGCAGCAAATACACCATGACTGCACATGACAAAACTGTTGAACATTTGCTTTTCTGATGGAAGATCATTGCTATCAAGGGAGGAGCTCCCGCCTGGTTGTGGCTCCCTTTCCTTTCCAGTCTTTCCAGACAACTAATATTCCCAGACTATTCAGCCTTCTAAAAGACAGATCAAATAGAGGGGGATTTTTATTTTCCACTGTATCACAAAGATTGCCAGACTTGCTGTGGCGGGCTGTAAGATGGAATGCATTTCAGACAAGAGAATTTCCCACTATGAATGTCTCAGCCCTCCGCTGTCAGTGGAACATAAATGAGGAGCAGTGCTGATATGAGCAGTCTGATCCTTTGCGTTTCACTTGAGGGCAAGCATGGAGCTAGTACTGAGTGGATTGCTGTGTGCTCCCTTTGAGAGCCCAGTCTTGAAGGCATTCTGCATTAACTGAGCCTAATAGGAGATTTGACTTCTCCATAATGTTCTGTTTCATGCTCTGTGCAGGCTGAAATTGGCTTGTTTTAGTTCCTCTCTGTTAAAAAATGTGTTGGCAGGCTGCACAAGTCATGCACGCTGGAGTCAGGCAGTAGTGGAAGGTATTAAAGCTTTGATAGGCATGGGACCATTTTAACCCATCCTGTTCACAGGCACCTTGGTAGCATCCAGCCCTGGTTCCAGTCCTGCCACAGCTCCTGGGAGTGCTTGCTGGAGGGACTGAGGGGAGCCACAGCACAGGGAAGTGACTTTTTGGAGTCACATTTTGTGATGTTGTGCTGTTGTTTGGCTTCTAACTTACCCAGTGGTACCTCCTTGATAAGTGAAGGGGCTGCGTGGACAGACACATCGGTTGTACACTGTGGGTTTGGTGGTGGGATCTGAGACTCCTGTAGGGACAAAAAGAAACATAGATAGAGGAGATGTCAGAAGGAACTTGTGGGAACTTTATTACTCCCTCCCAAATCACAATTTTTTCATGTTATTCTATTGCAAAAGTGCCAGTGTAGGTTCATGGAGCGCTGAAAGACTGAAATCCTACCACGCACCAGTGCTTTTGATCACGGAGTCTCTGTGTGTATCTGTTTCACTGTCCACTAATGGCTTTTGTCTCATTAAAAGCCAGAGAAGCTGTTCTCTGTGAGAGCAGCTTGAAGCACTTAGGACTCATTAGACTTCAAAGGAAACAGGGCCATACCACAAGCAAGAGGGGAGGAAATGGAGTGGCAAGAGGATCCCATTAATGGAGAACAAAAATAAACCCCAGACAGGAAGGAAAATCCTATAGGTCTGACTCAGGGCTGCAGTCCCGACACTGCGGCTTCAAGGACCGATTCGACACCGGAGCTGCACAGGGAGAACCCCCTGCCTTGGCAGCTGCCCACACTGGAGCCAAGTGATGTGAGTGAACCCAGAGCCTGTGGCCAGCAGTGGGGGATGGATGTCTCTGTTGTGGGAACGTCCCTGTTGCAGAGATGTCCACCTCTCTGGCTGGCTGGAGTTTGTCAGTGGACTTGTCTACGTACGCTATGCTTGTCAACAGGCAGTAGGGTATCAGGCCCTCTTTCATTGCCACACTGGTGAGGGGAGATGGGCATGCACTTTGCTGGTAATTGGTTCCTCTTCTCTTTGCTTAAATGTGTTTGCCATTTTAAAGAGGAAACATGCTGTATGTATGGTGCTTTTTGTGAGATGCACAAGGAAAAGATCCTGATGGAGTGATTCAAAAGAGATTGTCACCAAGCATTGCATTGACCTGCTCTTTTCTTTTGTCTCTCCTATTGCAGGGAAGATCCTCTTCCGCCGGAGTCACATCCGCGATGTTGCAGTCAAGCGCCTGATACCTATTGATGAGTACTGCAAGGTAAGGGAGGATTTCTAGCATTGACCAAAGATGAAGCCACCTTGATCAGGCTCAATCCTGTCCTTCTGATAGTATATAATAATGTTCCACTACTGGGAAAATGTGGAGAGTGAGCTCTCTCTCACCATCAAACCTTTTTGGTGACGAAAACCCACCCAATGGTCATGTAGAGGCAAGAGACAGCTGATTGTGATCTTTTTCCAGTAAGGCTGAGACAATTTCATCCATATACAAGTCTGTGCTAAGGTATAAAGCAGATTATAATGTTAGGCTTGTGTTGGTTTTTTGTGTTGTTTTTTTTTTTTCCCCTGGAAAAAATAAAGTCCACAAAAAATTATTTCACATAAAACATACCACATCTCACCACGTCAAGGAAGGGCACTGGCACTTAGAGCAACCATGAGATGGTCTGGAAGTGGGATTGGTGCTTCCAAAATCCATTACGAATACTGTTGAAAGCATGTACAAACACTACAAAGCCTGATGGAGAAGATGGGAAAACAGTGAAATGCTTGTCATGTTCCATAGGAGTGGGAGGCGTAGTGGTGACTCTGCATGACGATAGGAACTGTGGGTACGGGGACTCAGCCAGACCTAGGAGAAGGTTGTTGTGGCTGCAGGAGCACGTACGAGGGTAAAGGTGAATTAGTGAAGGGGTCTTGACATCTGTGCCGTGGGACTACAGGTGAAAACCATGAAGGGCCAGGGCAGCAGATGACAGCAGAGTGATGGAGATAGGGTGCAAGGTGAGCTTGGACCTGTGAAGTCCAAGCAGAGTGGCACCAGGAAGCTGGTGGTGCAAATCACTGCTTGGCTCCAGCCCCTTGTCATCTGAGTCATTAAAATACACCAGCTCCACACAGACACACAGCAGTAAATTTAATTTTTGAGAAGAGAAGGTCCCTAAGTGAAAAGATGCTGCAGCTGTCTGTTTCAGAATGATGCCATTAATGGTATAAAATATAATGAATCCATTTGACTTAACAACTGGAACATAATGGCTGATGTTATATGACCCACTTAGAGAGCTGCTCTCTCCTCCTCACATTAATGCATTGCCAAGTAAAAAATGCACACTGAGCCTGGCCTTCCAGTTGCTGCCATTAACCATAAAGCTGCTGCTGAGCTCGAAGGTGGGCGTGGAACCAAAGTTCTGCAGAGCTGTGAGATGAGGGTCAGTATGAGCAGAGACATCTCCTCCAGGGCACGTTGTGCTGCAGAACTTAGATCTGCAGTCCTGGTGTGCTCTCCCTGCTCAGGTTGTTGCAGGGGCACATTGCGTGTTGGTGAAGAGCAAAAATGCAGAATCTGCCCTGGCCTGCTGAGTTGAGGGCTAAGCAAATCTGTTGTGAACAGGTTCCCAGAGGAAACTGCTTAGGAAAGATTTTGCTTTCTTGCTGTTCCCTGGTAGAGAAATGGGGTATCTTCAGTCTATGGAGAGTCCTGACAAATGGATTCCAATGCAAATTCCAAACGTGTATTTGTCTTCAGTAAATAACAAAACTGACTGGCTGTGATTCCAACACAAAGTCATGTGCTGATGGCCCTCGTCAGTTCTGTCTTTTTGGTGGCAGAGCCAGAAGTGGGACAGACACCATCCAGGTCATGATCTTGTGTTTGTGGCCACAGCTGCAGTGGTCCATTGGCCAGTTTCATCCTGACATCTTGAAAAATGAGCTGAGATATGAGTCTTGTCTTCTGTCTTCCCATCATAAGATGTTTTCTGTGATCGTCCCCTGCTATCAGAGGGTGTGGAGCCTTTTCCACATTGCAGAATTAGGGGAATTTTGGCACGGGAAGATGTCTTGATCACGGGATGCTTGGTGCTGGGGAGTGGTACCCTCATGGGAATGGCATCCATGCAGATCCTGCTCTTCAAATAGCCGTTTTCTGCACACAAAAGCCATGGAGTGAGTGGTTTTCTCTCTCCTGTCTCTCTCACATGATCTTGTTTGCAGAGGGGCTGTGATTAGTGGTCTGACCGTCTGCTGTGCTGGCAGTGAGTGATTGTATGCTGAATGGCTGGAAGGCTTTTGGGGGCTAGCAATTAGGTCAGGATGGAGCCACATCTGATCTGTGCAGTAACCCCAGGGCTTTGCAGATGTGGCTTCGTCTCTGATACAGATTCCGTTTGCCCTCACTCCTTTTGTTAGACTGCTGTGACAGCACATGGAGGGTCATACAACTGCTTTGGGATGATTTCAGATCTCCAGTTGCACATCTATTTCCCTTTTTGCAGTCACTGTTGCTGGTGGCTCTGTTTCTTCCCATGAGCACAGTGCTCCATGGAGCTGTGACCCACTCCCTGTGCTCCGAGGCTCTGTGCTCAGGTGGCAGTGCTTCACATCACCAGTGTCTCTGTTTCACCACAGGCTCTGATCCAGCTGCCTCCCTACATTTCCCAGTGTGAGGAGGTTCTGCAGTTCTTTGAGACCCGACCTGACGACTTGACTCCCCCCAAAGAGTAAGTTGCTTGGGTGGCTGCTGCCACTGGGGTGGTGATGAAACACAAATTGCCTTCAGCTTGCCAGCATCCAAGAGTCCAACATCTCTTTAGAGATCCTCCCGGGAATCACAGGTGTGGGATTTGAATGCTTTTTTGGGGAGGGAACAGGGGCTGTGCAGCTCAGGTGAACACCCCCATCCGCTCCGCTGACTCTTAGTGTACCATTCCCAGCAGTAAAGTGGGTGCACCACTCTGGGACCCATCAAGTGTTGATGTCCCCTTGAGCCAGCCAGGCACAGTGCTGCTTTCTGCTTGTAGAATGCTGGTTTCAGAAACATGATCAGACTGAAAAGCCTCATTTCACATGGCAGTGCCCAGGCTGGGACTACTAATATCCTCTGCCTCATTCAAGGGCTCTTTCCCTCAGCCACGTCTGTGAACTCCATCCGTAGTCACTGCTGACTTTTTCCATGCAAAACAGAGAATGTTTGCAAGGAATCTCGCGTGCCTTACGCAACTCTGTGTGGTTATAAGTCTTGTGACTATGAGCTGCTTTGGCCACGAGCCACCCATCTCTTACTAATCACAAGCAGCATAAATCTGAGCAGCTGCTTTCATCTCCTGCTATGCAGCTCTCTCTTTATGCTGCTTGTGACACTATGCATAGCTCTACTGAAGGTTGAGCAATGGAGGAGGCTTGATTAATTGTGCAAGGATAAGGCAGTAAATTGATTTGACATCATTCTGTATTGGAAGGGTGTGGAGATAGATACAGGGATTTTGTTTTTCTCCTCTGAGCAGGAACATTGAGTCTTTTGGGTCTTTAGGGAAGTGTTATGCTTGTGTGGATTATATCTTCTCTCTGGGTTTTAGACTTTTTTCATGTGCGTGCTTTAATTCCCCCCTTCCTCCATCCTTGTTTTCCTCCTTTGATTCCCTTTTCTTGACCTGTTGTCATTCCTTCTGCAGCTCACAGTCACTTGATGAGATTGGTCTCAGGGCCCTGTGGCCCATTAACTAATTGCATGCTGTCAGTTGGTCCTCTCATCCATCCTGCCTGGTTATTGCTCAGCACTTAACCTGCCTTGATAGTTGTCTCTCAACAAAGACAGGGGCAAGCAAGAGATGCAAGAACAACATGAGCTTGTGGGGACAATGGGCGGGGATTTTCATGGGAATTAACAGCAGCTGGAGCTGTTACAGGGTACAGGGAACATGAATCTGAGCCCTGTGCAAGAAGTTGATGAGCTGCTTTTCAAAAGGAGTTACCTACTGAAAGTGGCTGGGGTTGGGACACCAGCACACACAGGAGGTTGTAGGGTGCCTGTGCCACAGAATTGCTGTGTTTGGCCGCTGGAGCACTGGGTGGATGAGCGGGTGAGGGGCTGCTGAATGCACCAATGGGATGTGCTGCCTTCCACTGCTCTCCTGGGAGCAGAGGTGAGTTTGCAGTATGCAGAAAGACATAGCAGGTAACTCTCATCCATTTGCCTCCAGCAGCAAAACGTTGCAGCATCTCAAGGACGTCTTTGTTGTGTTTCATATCCCAGCCTGAATGCCAGAGGGGTATTTATTAGCTACAATTCAAAATGCTAATTAATAAAAGTCCTTGGCTCTCTCCTTTGGAGAGATTGGTGGGAGCCCTTTCCTGAGCCCTGTGTGCTGGCATGCGGCCAGCGAACCAATAACGATATGGGAACGGTGATGGACGGCTGGGCTGGATCAGACGTGATGGCATGTCTGGGGTTTGGCCGGATGTCATCATTCATAAAGCAGATAAATACTTTTCTCCGGGAATTTGAAAGGGAGCCAGGCCATGAGAGGAGAAAAGAAAACGAAAAAAAAAAAGCAACTTTTATGCTGGGTGGCTGGAAGGTGGGAATGAGGGAGGAAAAAAAGACTGGTCAGCATGCTTTGTGCCAAGCCACCGCTGATGTGGCGCTGTGGCTGGGAGTGTTCCTGCTCCCTGTCCCTCCCTGTGCCTTGGTTTCCCTGGCTGACATCTCGGGGCCTGCCCCAGGTTGCAGCACAGAGCAGTAGATGGTGTTGGTGATGGGTGCTGCTGGGTGTGTTCTCTGCTTGCTTTTTCCCGGGGTATGCAGAGGAGGATCTGCCTCACTCACATCATGCTGAGATGTGAAGCCACTTTCAAGAGCTGCAGCAGACTGCAGTCCATGGAGCTCTGTTTAACTGCAAAAGGTGAATTAATCCTTGGATCTTTGCACTGGAAAGAGGAGGCTGGACAGCCCATCTGTCTCTGAGCTCCTCTAGTATTTGTTTCCCCAACACTGGAGCTTTTCCTGGGCAGATCCAAGGCTTTCCTTGTGCTCTTCTGCAGTGCAGCTTCCATACAGTGTCTGCTGGTGTTGAGAACACCAACAAAATCCAGTCACTGGTTACCAACCTGAAAGCTGTGACTTTTCTCAGTCTCTCATTTTTTACAACCTCTAGCACTGCTGCTGGTATGGACAGAGGGAGACAGAGGAGAAGGAGACTGAATGGAGAGGGAAAGAGTCAAATGCATCCTTTTTCCCCCACTGCTTCCAATTGGGCAATAGATCATAGCTAAAAGCTGAGCTGAGACAGGAGTCTGCAGTGCTAGGAGGGTGGAAGAGGGAGGTGAAGCCCTTGCTCCATCCCATCCACACACACTCGCCAACTTTCCAGCATCCTCCTGCCCAGAGGGACCACTTCAAACAGGAGTGGGCTGAGGTTGTGGTGTTTCCATTGGCAGAGATGCTCAGTGGCTTTTGTGACATGGAGCTCTGTCCAGCAAGCTCTGGACTGAGATAACATAGGGAGCCCACAGAGGGGTAAAGAGGGACTGTAATCTGGAGGGATTGGATGAATTTGGGAAGAGGTGGCTCTGCAGAGCTGGAGTGGGGGAAAGAAGAGAAATGCTTGTGGAATAAGAAAGATAGCAATCAGTGGGGTGTGGAGTTTTTCTCCCCAGTGTTGTATGGAAGCCCTATGAAAGCCATAGTTTCAAAGGAGAAAACTCATCAAATTCCTGCTTGCTGCAGATCTCAGCAGGTCTGACCAGCAGAAGAATGTTCGACTGTTGAGGTGGGAATTTGCTACGTGTGCCTCTCACCCCTCAACCACACTTTTTCAATTTCAAGCAGTTTTTGACCACAGCAGAAAGCTGCTTGGATAAGGTTGGGGACATCTGAGCTGCTGGGCACAAAGCCACTGCTGAGCCAAGGCATTCAGCTGCTTGCTGCTCACCCACAGGAGCCCAGGTCAGCTCTGTAGTGCAGCAAGATCCTGAGGGGCTTTTCAGTAATTGTCTGTACGAGTGAGGAGCAATGGGAATGGAGCTCCCATGTGCTTCCCAGGATTGTGGATATGAGCTCCTTGTGAGAGGCATCTTACAGTAAAGACTGTTTTCTTTCTGGTAGCTGGGCATCCTGTCTTGTGTAAGACACTAAAGGTTGTTGTTCTGAACCTTTCAGTGTATGAACCCCCAATTGTTGTTTTTTTTCCAGCATAGGAACCTGTAGAGCAAATTTATTACTGGTGCTGTGCCTAAAAGTTGTCCTCGGGCACCCCTCTGCACACACTGTGGATTTGTGGTTTGAAAGCTGCTGGCTTCAGGAGATACCAATGTCTTCAAAATATGTAAATAAGTCCTCTTGTCCTTCTCTAAAGCAGTTTCTCCCTTACGTGCTAGGTGTGTGTCCCTCTAGAAAGGGAGGGCGGTGTTGAAAGTCTGCTGTGTGGCTCCTTGGCCAGCATGCTGCAGCTTAGCTCAGATTTGGTGTGGGAGCAGTCCCAGCCCCCAGCTCTCTGAGGGTCTTTTAAAGGATGGTGACCCTTAGAGCAGATGGCAGTGGAGGTGGATACTCCCCCATCAGTCTGGCTACCATGTGTGCCTAGAGCTCCATGCAAACAGTCAGGACAAATTCCTCTTGCAGCCAGGCTACAGAGGGGGGTCTGGGGGTGTTCCAAGCACAGTGCAGCTCTGCTGCTGGGGTGGAAGTCTGCAGGAGGTGTGTGGTGAGGAGCTGGGGCACAACCAGATGAGAGCGTGTGCTGCTAATTAGGTTATGCCTGCAGCAAAAGCTCAGCAGCCCTTCATGATTCTATTAATGCTAAGGTTGTGGTGCTGGGCAGTGAGGTGGGGGTGGCAGTGGTATAGTAACGGATTCCTTCCCATATGCAGACTGATGAGGACTCCAGGCAGTCATTAGCCCCCATAAATCAGTGAAGGGAGAGCTGAGCCAAAATGAGAGTCAGTGAGATTTGAGAGCTGGTGAGATTTGATTGTGCCAGTTTGTCTCCATATGAGTGATTGAAAGGTCCTGCTTAGGGCCACTGTGCCAGCAGCCATTGGCAGGTGAAAGATTTGTGTTAGGTCCAAAGCACCAGAAGACAGTGCTAGACAAGCATATTTCCAGCACTGCAATAGAGAGCAAATCTGTTCCTTTGCCTTATTTCCATAAATGTGAAGAACAGACTCATAAGCAGTGTCTCCCCCGAAGAAATCTCTTTCCTTCCTGCTTCCCTGGAGCTTTTTACCTGCTTACTTTTTCCTGTAGTGGAGTTGTCCCAGGAGGAAAAGTTTTCCTCATCACACTCGCACAGTGTCTGAGTTGGGGCTTGAACTCCTTGGCCAGGTGAGCAGGGATTTAACAGAAAAAGGAGAGCTCAGATCCCTGCTGTAGGATGCAGTGGTTGTCCCATAAAGGGAGCCATTCCTTTTGCCCGTAAACTCAAGCTCCCTGAGTTGACGGATGTTGGTTTGGATAAGGATGCTTGTTGGCTTGTGGCTTTTGAACCGTGTCCTGCTCTCCAGACAAATTACAGCTTGTAGAAGGAATTGTTTGTTTTGCGGTGCTGCTGGTGCCTACGTGCAGATTCACCAGGAGCTCAGGCTAGATCTCAGCTCCAAAATAGTGCTCTCCGTCATTCTCAGCTGAGAACTGTCCTTTCCAGGTGACAGCAGAAAGAAATAGTAATGGGGTTGAAGCCACAATGCATAAACATGGTTTGCTGCATCACGAGCTCCTTGCATGAACAGAGTACTTGATTTTGTATGCTTACAGGGCACAGGGCAGCCTTCTGAGCCTACAGGTTTGGCTCAGACAGCTCTCCTGCAGTTAAACACAAGAGTGGTACTGGCACTGCAGCTTGGGAGCAGGGGCCTCATTCAGTGGAGCATTTGCTGAACATTAGCTCTCTTAAACAATGCCCTGTACTCCAGTTCTTAGCTGTCTTCCTTGCATATACCTTGCTATGACTTCTAACATCTCTACGCTTGCTGAATACTTAAAAGCTGAGCTGTCTCCTGAGAGTTTTTTTGATGGCAGTGCTGTATTATAGCAGGGCTTATTATTATTTACAAGAAATAGACTTTTCTGCAGGAAATATTTTCTTGGAACGGTGACTTCAGACCTATCTCATCTTGCTTGTTGATTGTGGGCTGCGTGGTTGGCATTGCAGCAGCTGGAGTTGTCACCCTTGTGTTTGTGCTTTGCTGTCCCTCTTCTGCCACTTGGCTGTAGCTGTGGGGCAGCACAGGTGCTGCTGAGGTCTGCAAGTGCCATGCTGTGCCAGGGCCTTTGTCCCAAGACTCTTCCATGGGATCTTCCTCCTGTGAGTATGTAGTGGAAATGCTAAGTCACAGCTTGAAGCAGTGACTGAGCACCTGGTGGGAAGGCAGGGCCAACTCGGGGGAGCTCAGGTGCATGCAATGCAGGTGAATGACCAGAAGGAGTGGAGCCAGGATCCACTCCTTCCCAGACCTTGTTTAAGGGTTGGCCGTGGAGATGAGGGTATCTCTTGATAGAGATCCCTACCTACCTGAGGCCTCCTAAAGGTAAGCAGCTCTTTTACTTCATTTCTGTGTCTGTGGCTGCTGCATTTGGGTTCATTCTCATTTGCTGTAGCCAAAGACTTTGACACTCTGCTACTGTTATCCCATTATAGCATTACAGAAACCCACCACAAGGTAGGCTCTGCTGCATGCTCACTGCAGAACCACTTCTGTGTCATGAAGCTGCTTGCCTAATCCAGCAGCCACCAGACCCCAGCGGTTTCTTGCAGTCAAGTAAGCTTGTAGCAGCTCTTCTCTAGGCACAGTCATAGCTTTCCTGGTTTTGTAATTAACATTTCATGCCTGAGGTACAAGCTTGGAAGCCTGTAAAAACCTTCAGCATCCACAACATTCTGAAGTAGGAGATTAATGGCTTACACCTACATATTGTTGAAGAACAGCCTGCTTTTTTGGTTTCAAACCTGCTTGCAGCCTTGTGCTCCTCGTCTCCTTCCTGTCACTGGCTCCAGGGAGATGCTGTCTGATGCACTGTGGAAGATTGTGATGAGAATATTTAAAAAAAAAAAAGGTGACATTGAAGTATTTACTGACCCTAAGTGTTCTCTGCTAGTAAGTTTTCTTTAAGGATTGCACTTGGGGATTATTATGTTCCTGAAGGATGCTGAACTAAGCCTACGGCACCCTAATGCTATTTGGCTCAGTGTTTTAAGTGAGATTCCTATTACACAATAACCCACACATTCAGTGTCCCTGACAGGGAGATGGGAAAGTCCTGGGAAGCAGTTGGAGAACTCTCCTGGGTGTTACCTTTTGGAGAGCTCATGTGGCTGCTTGGGGCATGTTGCTATTGTTATATGCTGGTACCTTCTCCTTATGCTGTGACTGCCTGGTTCATGTGGACACTGGTGCAGGTGAGAGCTAGATGAGTTTCCCAGCAGCAGGCAACCTTTCCCTCTCTGCTTGGAGGCACCTGTTTCCAGGAGAGTGTATGTGCACACTACTGCATACCTTTCTCCAGTCCATGGGAAACAAAGTTAGGAAGAGATGCTGCTAGCAATCTGTCAGAGTTTCCTGTGCTGTCTGAGTTCTTGTGTCCTCCAAGGTGGTGGGCTGGTGTTCAGAGCTGTGTCTCTTTGTATCTGTGCCAGGAACAACCCAGCAGCAAAGTGAAATTACAGTTTCTTCCTTGCCCCCTCACCCAGACAGCCAGAAAGGAAGCAGGGGGATGAGTTACAGCAACAAGCTTAGCAGATGTCGGGGAAAAGCAGCAGTCCTTCCCATCAGCACAAGGATGCAGTGCACATTTGCCACCTGCAGCATGCTCACCTGCTCTCATCACCCCATTCTAGTGCAGCATTTCAAGGCCATAGTGACAAATAATGTGGAAGTGTTGAGAGCTCTTTTGTAGCAGCGTGGACCACTGCATTTGGAGCTGTGGATGGGGCTGGTGCATTTGTTTGGATTTCAGCCTGGTTTGGTGCCTCGGTTTGTCATCTGTAATTATATGAGGTTTGTCTCAGCACCTATTTTCTTGGGTTCGTTTGCTTCTTAATCATGAAATGCCCCAGACTTTATTGTGCCTGAAGAGGGTTGTGCCCAGGGTGTGAGGCTGTCCAGCAACCATGTTTCTTATTGGCACTCTGGTGACGGAAGAGACACAAGACCTTTGGTTTCTAATCCATTTCATCAGTGTGGCCGTTGCTGTCCATAGTGCTTCCTTGTGCCTGTGTTCATCCTTTTTTGTGTTCATCCTTTCAACACCACTTTAATGAGTTGTTCTGTTTTGAGGCACAAATGCTTGCACCTTTCCCAGCCCTCCTCCCTATCCTTGTCCCCAGGAGAGGTGCAAGACACGGAACAATTTCTGTATTTTCCTCTTGATATTCAAAGTGGTGTCCACTCCTATGAGAACTGTGGACTGTGCTGAGGGGGTTTGAGTTTCTCTTGTTCCTGACTGCTGCCAAATCAACCTGGTCTGCATGTGACATGGTGGGAGTTGTCAGAGCAAGCCACTGAGGAGGCAGACCGGTGGCCGAGCTTCACTCTGGGGAAGGCAAAAGCATTAAATTACTCAGTGAGAGGGAGAGAGGTGCAAGGCTGCTGTCTGGCCTGTAGAGACGTTAGCTGGTGTGAGGGATGTCAGCGGCACTGCTGGGACCAGCACTGCTGTGCTCTCTTGCATAGGTTTCCTGTGGTAAACAACCCAGCTGTCCCCATCCCACTGCTGACGCTCTTCCTTCTCTTTTTCAGGGAGCCCATTGGAAAGAAGAGATCTGGTAAGCATTCTTCCCCTCTCCAGTTTCACCATCTCCTCCTACCACCCACAGCCTTGGCCTCTCAGTACTATGCAGTGGCCTAACTCCATGATGGGCATTGCTGCCAAACCCTGTGGGGCTCCCTAACATGCCATGTCCTCTCCATGCCCCATCCCAGCCTCCTGGTGCCCTTCCAAAGAGGGGATGGCATTGAGGACATGAAGGCTGAAGTTCCTTGTTGCCCCTGCAGGCATCCCATGGAGGGATGGGGTGATGGGGAGAGCTGCAGGCACCTATCTGTTCATTCATTGAGTCATAACCACCAACTGCAGTCACCTCCGTGTTCGTGTCTGTCCTCCCCTCACACCTTGTCTCCCCTCATTTTGTTCCTCCATCAGGGTTTATCCAGAGAACGACCTCTTTCCTACAGAGAGGTAGTAACTGCCGCACGCTCCTTGGGCCTCGCTCTCGCTTTGCCTTTTGCTGCAGGACACCTGCTATGTCTGGGTGGGCAAGCCCCTTGCATCAGCTGTCACATCCCTGTAGCTTTCTGTTGTGGCTGGTGGACTCGGGGCAGTAGTGGCGAGGAGGTGTGGCAGGCACAGGGCCGTGTCACAGCCTCAGGTGAAGGACAGGGCTTTGTCTCCAGCCAGGTGTGAGCAACCATGGAGTCACGGTGCCCTCAGGCCTGAAGGAGTGTCTGAGCTGAGAGGTGACCACCATGGGGCTGCAAGGCTCCTGGTGCAGCAGCACTTTCTACTTCAGGGTTGCACCAAGTTGGGACCCTTTGCATGGACAGGTGGATCTGGGATGCTCTGCTCCTCAGGACAGGGGCACATCTCTGAAGACTCCTTCGTTTTAATGATTATTTAAGGGCATCTTACAGCTGCAGGAGTTGCTATATGGCACCGGGACCTTTGGAAAGGGAGGTCTGTGCCATGGCTGAATGGAGATGCTGCTGAAATAGCTGTGGGAAGATTTTTGGGCCTGATAGTTGATGCTGCCTTAAGCTGTATCAGCAAATTTCACTTGTAGATAAATGGATTCCTCTCTAAGGCAAGAGAAAAAGAACAAGGAAGACTTGAGACTAAATACTGCCTTCTTTTCTGTTGAATCTGGAGGACATCCCTCTCTCGAGAACTGCTGGCATCCCAACTTCTTACCGAGACAAGTTGTAGGATGCATATGACAGACAGATGTTGTCTGCTCCAGTGGTGGCTCCTGGTTTTGCTCTGTTTTTCTGGGTGAGTTATAACTGGGTGATCTCCTGACTGGCTAACGGGGCTGCCAGCATGGTTAAAACCTTCAGACAACATCTCAAACTCTGACAGCTGCAAGGTATGTCTGGCAAAGCTGGGCCTTGTGAGGGCTGCTCTAGAGCTCTCACAAGCCTTTTGCAAGCACAGGCTGCAGTTTTCACACTAGCTTTTTCTTGCTGTGTTGGTGTGTCTTACATGGCTTTGTCAGAGGAGATGTGCTGAAGGTTTTGCTTTAAGCTGAGTTATTCCTTTCACTGCAAGCCTGTGTGGTGGCAGAGAGAGGCATCTGGCTGTGGGTGGGATGAAAACAGGCTGTGCTTTTTTTTTTTTTTTTTTTTTTCCCATCTTCTCTCTTTTGATAGAGTGGAGGTAAAATAAAGACACAGAATCCCTTGTCTTGGAAATGTCTCTGGTGTGATGGCTCAGTGGGAATGTCTGCTGGGTAAGGGAGGGGTGTTATGTTTCCCTGTGAGAACAGTGTGTGTTTAGATCACTTCCATTAAGCAGGAGAAAAGAAGACCTGTCTAGGATTGAGGGGAAGGAAAAAATGAAATTCTGCCCTCAAAGAAATGAGTTATGCAGCAGAGTTTTTCTAAGGACACTGGTCTTTGGAGAAGCAGGAGTTTTTCTACTGTTTGTGTATGGAGCTTTGTTCTGCCATCTCATTTCCAATAAGCCCATTAGCAGAGTGGGCTTATGGGCAGCTCCACTCTCTCTTGCCCTGTAGGCATGGCAGGTTGACAAATGATACTGTGATATTGCTGAGGGCTAAGAGAAAATGCTCTTTGGGATGCTGTTTGCTTAGCACCACTGAGAGAGAGGGAATGGAGAGTTTGGGTAATTCCCAAGCCAGAGCCCTGGACAGGGTGCAGCACCCTGACCATGGCACTGGCATATGATTTGGCTGTGGTATATGTGCAGTAACCATCAGGGAAAGGTGTTTATGTGCAGTAACACTGCCACAAGCTGATGCTTTGTGCCAGATGCATTCAGAGTCTTCTCTCACTGTTACATGTTTTCTGTCAGAAGAAACAGAATTTGGTTCTGCTACTGTCACCTGGAATCCTCTCTTGACTTGAGGAAGCCCCTGATGGTTCATCGGTTGCTCAAGCCAAGCCTGCTTTGAGATGGCAAATAAGGAGTAAGGCACACAAAAAGGGCTCTTTTAATAGGATCTCCTTGTAGAGGGGGCATCTGATAACTGCTAACAAACAAAAATAGCTAGAATTCCTTATTTCTGCAGCACTGCCAAAGGGAGGTTCAGTTGCTCTTCTTAGAAGATCAGTGCTTTGGAGCACCTGGCAGGTTTCACATGGTCTGTAGCCAAGCACTGGGTTGCAGTGAGTTGAAGAGCTGCCCGTAGCCTTCCATGGGGACCAGGAGACTCAAGGGATGTGTGTGGTTGTGAGGAGGCCCAGAGACAGGGACTCACTGATGTTAGTTGGTGAGCATTATTTCTTGCTTATTTCCCACAGTCTGGAGCTTTAAAAAACAACTTGGCCACTGATTTAGGTATGCCTCATAGTAACCAGTCCCCAAGACTCAAACATTTCTTTTTACTCCTTTCTGAATTGTGCAGAAGCGCAGATGGAGATTCATGGGTTCGCTGTGGCACTAATACAGTGCACAGAAGTCTGAGACTGTCTCAGCAGTTTTTATTTGGGTGGAGCTGCCTTAGAAGAGCTCCCATATCCCTGTCAGCCTTATTTCACATGCCTTCTTGTGTGGCCAAATCCCTTTTGCTGTGCTGTGCAATGTTCCCACAATGGCTTTTGGTCTGAAATTTGTTTTATCTGGGACAATAAGCACAGCTCTCATATCCTACAGCAGCCATAGGAGGACCATTCTAAAACTCCAGAGTTTCTGGCACTATTTTAGATGATTACGTTTATCCCATTGCTATTCTAAGAGACTAAGTCTGCCCATAAATAGGATGCTTTATTGTTGACTGTGTGTTTTTGTGGTTGAGGATGATTATGCCAGGTGAAAGCGCTCCTCAAATTAACTCCTACTTCTTCCTCCAAGCTTGGTTTACCAGTTCTCTTGCTGGTTTAATAGGTACATTGGAGGATCCAGAATTGCCTGGTGAAACTACAAATAGCCTCAGTGCATTGTTTGTAATTACAGCTGGGGAGGCAGAAAGGAGAGTATTTCTCTCTTCCTGTAGCTGTTATTCTGCTCTCAGGGGCTGAGTAAATCCTCTGATCACTATAAGCACAAACCTTTATTTGAGTTAGTAAAACAGATAGTCTCCAAATTCCTGGCTTCCTCCACTCACTTTAGGGGCCTATTTTTGTTTGGTGCCCCACCTCTGGGTTATGGCATGGAGGAAGCTTTCATTAGTGGTAACAGATCCTTTGTACTTGGTCAGCTCACCTGCAGCTCTGCAGAGAGCTGTTTATAGCACAAAAGCATGGACAATTTGCCTCTTCTTCCTTTAATAAGAGTGTCCTGAAAAAAGACATTGTTCATTTAAATCTTGGTTGTGGTCATTTTTACTCAGAACTAGTTTGAGAGGTGGTGACCTGAGGGAGCAGAGGGTTCCAGCGCTGCTGTTAGGTCCTGTCCATCTCTACTCATCCCTCTTGCTCTGCTCATTGCAGGATTGTGCCCTGCAATACGTTCCATGATAGGAAAGATCTCTGACCTCTTATGTAATGGGGAAGCCACTGAGTCCTCTTGTAGTGTAGCAACATAGAAATGTTCTCCTGATTTGTTTTGCCTTTATATCTCAAGGGAACGCCACTCTTTGTATCACTGCTTTCTGGCACCCTCCTGAGCTTGGGAGGTCACTGTCTGATGCATCTGCCATGCCCTGGCAGCCAGAGAGCAGCGGTGATTTCCACAACTGGAGGCCCCCACAGTTCCAGTAAGTGTGACTTAACAGCTACACATAGGTGTGTGAGTCTTTTGTGTCACTTATGCTATAATAATTAATACTGTTCTATTTCCAAAGCACTTGGCAAACATTAATTAATTTTTACTGCACCTGGGAGAAGTGGGTAATATATCAGTATCCTCAACTGGCAGGCTGTGAAGCTGCCAGGCAAAGTACTGTGCTGGAGGCTTGGGACAGCAGGGAGAAGAGTACAGGCACTTCTGACACCTTTTTGCTCCTCAGAGGCTTTTGCAGGCAGACAGGCAAGTGCTGCCTGTGCTTTGAGTAACCAAGTGACTTGGTGCAAGGCTGAGCCCAGGGGAATGCCCTCTGTGGTGAAGCTGAGGAGTCTGAGTTCAGTGCCGAGCATCCACAGGTCTGCAGAGCTCTGGGTTGCTTTGTGATCTCCCTGCATGTGGTGTCACAGCAAACATCTGTATGCCTGTGGGAGTGGGGGAGTTTTGCTGCATGCAGAGAGATGAACTTAAGGGCACGTTTCTAAGGCAGAGATCGATTTGACTTGAAAGCTCTGTTCTTCCTTGGTAAGTGGTGCCAAGCAAAGGGGATGGGTCTGTATCCAGAGCACTCTCCTAAATAAAAACGTGCTTGGAAGGAATAAATGATCATCACCTTCTTGTGCCTGGCAGGTGCCTCCTGTTCCCTGGTGCAGTGCTGGCTGGCCCCTCACCTTAGCCTGCAGTGCCACCTTCAGCCTGGCCAGCTTGGCACAGCCAGACAGGGCTCCCTGGCCGCTTCCATTCATGTTAGGTGTCAAGCACCTTGTTGGTGCAGGGCATGCTGTGCTTTCTGTGTATCCTGTCTGTTTGCCCCTGCTGGGGCATTTCTTCTCAGTGGACGTGGAATTGGGATCTTCTGCAGGAGCTGAGCAGCATTAGTGGAACAAAGAGCCAAGACTGCGAACTGCTGGCAGTCTGTGAGAAGGGCAGCGATGGGGCTGCTGTTGTACCCTGCAGATGCCCTTCCGCCCAGGTGTGCAGGTGTTCGGCCAGGAGCAGCAGAACTCCATGCAGGCTGTGTGTGCTGGGCTGGGTCTGAGCAGGTTCATGTGCTGGTCTTGTGGTGGTGGTGGGTTCACTTGGATGGCTCTGAGCAGGAGGTGGGAGCAAGTGCAGGGCCTCACCTGGCTGTACCCGTCTCACCTGGCTGCTGGTTTGGTCCCTCTCCTCCTCACTCTGCCCAAGCCTCTGGCTCACATCTCTCACGCTGGGGTGCCCGCGGTGTCCTGGAGCTGCTTGGGAGCGGTGCTCTCGGGAACTGCTGCTGACCTCGGCACACGGCCGGGTTCTTGTCCCCCTGTGCAGGAGCTGACTCTGCCTCGGTCGATCCCTTGGTGCTGGAGCAGTATGTCGTGGTGGCCAACTACCAGAAGCAGGAGAGCTCCGAAATCAGCTTATGCGTGGGCCAGTTGGTGGATATCATTGAGAAGAACGAATCAGGTACAGAGAGCCAGGCTTGGCAGAGAGCTGCAGGTCTGCTCTGCACCTCAGAGCAGGGACAGGAATAGCAATCCTGTCAGTGTCTTCTTTAATAGGAAGGGAAGCAAAACAGCCTCAGGGCACCTCACAGGGATGTCCTTGGATGGTCAGCTTAAGTAGAATGTGAAGGAAGCTTCAGTCTGCAGGATTTCTGCATGAGTGTGGACAGAACTTAGGGATTCTCTCTGTAGGAAGAGTCTGATTACCTGCTGTGCTGAGCACTAGGTGCCGTCCACCTTTTACACTCTTACGTTATGCTTCTTTGTGCTGAGAAATGTGGTTGATGGGTTCTGTGGCCAAAAGGCAGTCCCAGGGTTGGCAGGCTGGTTTTGCAGATGAATGGACACTGGCTGTGGAAGACCCACAATTCCTGCCCCTCCAAAAGAAAGCTGTGCAGTGCTCAGCCACCCAGCCCTGTGCTTGCTACAGCTTCAGCAGGCTCTCACCCTTTGCAGAGGGAAGGTGTGTCATGGGTCCACCTTCTGGAGTTGATTGAAAAGGGGAATTTATTCCCTGAAGTGAATACAAGTTGCTGAGGGAGTTTAAAGGTAAATTATGAAAATAGATTTTAAAATTCCTGAAACCTCATCCCAAGAGAATTAATTGAACCAGCAGCTTTTTGAAAATGAGAAAAATAAAAGCAACCCTAAAGCAAGTGAAACCTATTAGCACAGCCAATTGAACAGGTATAGTAAATCATTTATTTATGAAATGTCAGCTCAGATTTTTCTTTTCATGCAGGTAGCTGCTGCTTCCCTCCCTGACAATCTAGTTGTCTTTCTAAATGGTTCACTGGTGGGATTCTGAGAATAATGCTTGGTTGTTATTTTTTCCCTATGAAGACACAAACAGCTTGTGCTTTTCATAACTGAGGAGCATGCATTTATTTTGATTGGACACGCAGGGTGGCCCAGGATTGCTATGGCCTCTGTGGAGCTGGCCAGGTTTCCACTGGGAGAGCTCATGTTTTAATCCTGCATTTGCTCTTAGCTTTTAAAATTTGCTGTTTCCACAAATGTAAAGAAGGCGAGAGCACAGCAGGAGTCAGTTATCGATTTGCAGACAGTGTATTCATCTCTGCTAATTAGACTGGGCTTGCTGACCCATGCTGAGGGAAAATGAACCATGAAGGAAAAAAAAAAAATAGAAAGCAAACGAGATGGCTGGAGTCATTCAGTTCTCAGAGTCTGTCCTGGCTTTTGTAAGGCTGTGGGGTGGGAACCATACACGTAGATATCATAAAGCTGCAAATCTCCCTTGCTGCTGTCTGTCCTCCCTTTCAGATAGCACATGGCTCTGTTGCTTTGGGGTGATCTCAGCCTCTCGTGTTGCAACACGGGGGGGGCAGAGCCCCCCAGACTCATGGTTTGTAGTAAGGGAAGTGGCTTTAGGTTGACGTCCTTGGCTGAGCCAGCTGCTCTTTTCTTCCTAGGCTGGTGGTTTGTGAGCACATCAGAGGAGCAAGGCTGGGTGCCAGCGACCTGCCTGGAGGCTCAGGATGGTGTCCAGGATGAGCTCTCAATGCAGCCTGATGAAGGTAAGAGGTGGCTGGAGGCAACAGTCCCAGTTTCTGTCTGCTATGCACGAGGACTGTGTAGTTCAGTCTGGCCTAGTGAGGAGAAGAGCCCTGAGAAGAACAAAGCCACAAGTGCTGCATATGTAGGACTGCACTTAACAGTCCTACCTGTGCAGTGCTGTACCAGGAGTGAGGCTGGTGGATATTGACAGTATAACTGCTGCCTTTTCTGTTCCCCCAGAGGAGCTAAAGTTGCTTCCTGAAGGGAAGACCCAGTACTGCCATCACATCTCCTTTGCTCTCAAGGAGCACTGCAGGAGGAGCAGAGGTCCTAGGGCAATTCCTGTGTCTTCTAATCTCATGCAGAAAGCAAGAGCATGCATGAGCTCGTGTTGTGAGAATAGCAAAGTTGCAGCTTTTCTGTACAGTAAAACTGTATACAGTGAATCCAAAACACCTCTGGAGAGCACATCCTTCCTTTTGATCACTGTATGCTCAGTGCTGTAGTTTGCTCAGCCTGTTGCCTAGGGAGGTAGAGGTGGGAGGGGAGTCAAAATGGTGAGGGCCCCTGGCAGGGTCCCAGTGGGTACAGTCTCTGCCTCTCTGGTGTCAGCCCCGTCTCCTCTTTGACTTGAAGTGCTGCCTCCTTATGTCCTCTCTTATCCTCCTGCTTCCCCCGACATGCTCTCCCCAGTCCCATGGAGATACTGGTCTCTGCCCAGGCATGTTGGCCGCCGTCGGACTCTTGGGGACTTGTACACAAGTGGATGGGGTCAAGGTGGACTTTGTAGAGATGTATTTGACTGCCTTTGTTCTGTGCTTGGTGCTTTGTTGTGTGCATGTTTGATTGCTTTGCATGTGATGAACTTTGCCTGTGTCAGTGCTTGGTACATGCTGTACATGCTCCTCAACCTTCAATCAGGCCCATTCATGTCCACTTCTCTTTCCTCTGCCAGCTATTCCTTCTAACATTTTTAGACTTGTGGATACACAGGCTGGGGTTTCTGCTTTCTCTCAATGCGTTTTGCAGATTTCTTGCAGCTGCTGCCTTAGGCCCTGCATGAGCCCTTTCATTTGCACAAAGTTGATGGGGAATGAGGTCTTCCTACAGCTTTGCTCTTCTGAGAAGACAAAAACATGAAGACTGTGTAGTGGGGATATAAGAATGTCCAGAGGTATGGGTTCTGGGGATAGTGTAAAGGGCATTTTGTGAAAAGACTACTGTAGCACTGCTTAAGCGCAGAATTGCAAGCTTTCTTGGATTTAATCCAGAAATTATAGGACCAAGTGAGGGAGAAGAGTAGATGGATAAACCATTTTGTCTGACAAGCTGCCCATGTGGCTGTTAGGATATTTACCCTTCCCCTTGAAGGGCAGAGCATCAGTGTCCCTGCTTACTGTTGTTTCATCCAGCAGACAGCCCAGGCCTACTACATGGTTTTGAATAATCTCTTGAGGAACACAACTGCTGAATATGGAAATTCATGTAGACTTGCTGTCATAGAGCAGCTGGAGAGCAGTTATGTCTGAGAGCACAACTGTATGTGTGGGTGCTTCCCCAGGCCTGTGGAATTCCTTCCCTGTATAGCAGAGTTGAACTGAAATGGATGGATACAAGGGCTGCTCTGAAGAGCAGATAGAGGGAGAGCTATTGTATAAATCAAGAGAAAGAGAGTTTAATGTAGACAGTCCATGTTGAGGAGAGTTGTAATTGCTTTCTTTCCAAACGCAGTGGCTAATGCTGGAAGAACTGTGTGTGTGAAAGGGCGAAGGGCCAGCCATCCAGTTTGGATGTCTTTTCTAGCCTCTGGGTACATTTTTAGGAACAGTAGCTATTTGGGAGAGTGAAAGCAAAAAGCAGCTGGAAGGGAAAGCTTGAGCAATGTATGAAAGGGATGAAATGAAAAGAAGGGGCATTCAGTGCCTCCTGAGGCTGTCAGTGGGGAAAGTCACAAAGCTTACATTTCAAAATGCATCCAAGTTTCTTTTGACATACATTTCACTGACATTTCTCTTCCAAATGGTTGTGTATCTTTGTGTGTTTGCACCTTTGTTACAAGAATTACTGTTTATAGAAAACACGTAACCACTGTTCAATAGAGTTCAGCTTTCTGTAGAATGTATCTGTGAAACTGCATTTTCTTTCCAACAGAGGAGAAGTATACAGTTATTTACCCATATACTGCCAGAGACCAGGATGAAATGAATCTGGACAAAGGAGCAGTGGTGGTGGTGATCCAGAAGAACCTGGAGGGCTGGTGGAAAATCAGGTGCTGTCCCTGCCTCTTGTACTTCACTGACAATGCAGGCTAATGCGTGGATGGTACCCACCGTACCATCCAAGGGCAAGTCTAGGGTATCAGAGAGTGCAGAATAGCATAACTCATTTCTCTACATCCCTACATATCATAGTTAACTGAAATTCAGGGCTTCAGCCAAGTGTAGTTGTGGTTAAACATCTTTAAAATCCTCTAGTGGCCTGTGCTGAGGAGGTGGACTGCATCACAGCATCACATGCCCCAGCAGCTCAAAAGGAAGCGGTGTAAGGGCATTAATGTTACATCATGTCTTACTGATAGAAAAAGCAGTGAGTGTCCTGGAGGCAGGCTGGATCCTCTGGCTGTGTTAGGAGGTTTCTGTGGAGAAGAGCCATTCTCTGGGCCAGGTCTGCTGTGTACAGGGTGTGCTGAGGCCAAACACTCCCAGTCATCCCAAGCTGATACTTGTTTTCTCCTGGAAGCTCATTTTCACTTCTCTGTGATCTCACAAACAGCTGGGCTTGAGCAGGGTGGGAGCATGTGCCACCATTTTCTTAACCTTATGCTGAACCTGTGGTATTGGCAGCAGCAAAGGCCCAGAAAAATGGCCATTGACTTTTTGAGCACAGGAGAGCTGCCACGAGAGCTCTAAAGGCAATTACAAGCTCAGGAGCCTGTGCCATCTGAGCATAGTGGCTGTAGCTCAGCCAACAGGAGAGCCTCTGACGCTGGCGCAAGACCCTTGAGCATAGCAGGAAAGCTCTAAGGATGTGGTTTTTCAATCAGGTCATGGACTAGTTTTTCTCCTAAAAAGTGCAGATGTAGAACAGGGAATGGGTCCAGGCTGCGCTCCATCCAGAGAACAGGTACATCAATCCTAGCAGCAGAGCCCTCTGGTTTTCCCCTTTGTTTCCCCTGCCAGTGCATTTCATTCCTGAACTGGTTCCATTGCTGAGATGAACTCAGGCTTCATGCTGCTCTTAGCCCTCTGGCTGCAGTCAGTCATTGCTGCAGCTCTCCAGATGTCCAGGGGACACAGAGCCTGATTCTGAACAAGTTCATTTTGCCCAGGTCATTGCTTGTGCCATGCTCTGACTTTGGAACATGTGGTGGCCCTGTGCTGCTGCAGTGCAGTGGGTTGCTCCATTGTGCAGGCTTGTGGTGGCACTGTGGCTCCATGCAGTGACACTGCCATTGTCACCACAGGTACCAGGGCCAAGAAGGCTGGGCTCCTGCCTCCTATCTCAAGAAAGGAAATGGAGAGATGTTCTCACAGAAGCTGGGGTCTGGCTCCTCCACTCATTCCTGTGCCTTGGATCTGGATGGCATCTCCCGGCAGCAGGTTGTCACCAGCCGAGAGAAGGATGGGCTCACTGGCCAGAGGGATGGGAGGTTTGACAACCGTCCCTTGCCCAACGCTGACATCCGCCGCAGTAAGTGGTGGGTTGGGAGGGCACTGGTGGTGGCTGGGTGTCAGCGCAGCCTTTCCTGCATGCTTCCAGGCAGCATAGCACAAAAAGGGGGCAGAAAGCTCTGCAGGAAGGTCTCGAGGTGGCACTGCCTTTCTGTTCCCTTTTTCACTCCTCTTCTGGAAAATCTTATGGAACCAAAAGTTAGACCCTCAACAGCATCTGAAATTCTTCCTCCACAGAGTCACCGAAGATGAGGCAGAGACCCCCTCCTCGCAGAGATCTCACTATAGTAAGTGTATTCTGAGCCCTCCCGGAGGCTTGGAGACCCAAAGAGGGGGGAGGTATCATACATGATGCCTCATTCTTGATATTTTTTTTTTTTTTTTTTTTAAGCATCTGCTTACTGTTAAAGTCATCACTGGAGAGAGAATACTGGGATAGGCAGTCCCTGCTTGGGACCAGTACAGCAATTCCTATGTCTCGCTTGCCAGCTGACATAGAAGAGCAGTAATGGGAAAGGGAACTGGAGAGAAATGTGAAAAGGGAGCTCTGGTCACTAGCTACTCTGCTTGGGATGGACTCTGCTCTTGGTGGGAGCTAGAGCATGTATGCTGTCTTCCTACTGTCTTAAACTAATCTGTTTGCAAATGGTATTTAGGTAAAATTTTGGTCAGTCTGTCCTGCAAGGCTAGTTTGCCAATGCAGTGTGGCAAGCTGTCTCTCTCTTTCTGGAGAGAGTAATTCTGCTGTCAGTAATAGCTATGGGCAGTTTTCTGTCTGCTCATCCCAAAAGCATTTTGCTGCTTTGTGTTGATGAGGATGCTGCATGGGCTGAGCTGATCTCCTTGGTGTGCTTGGGCTACCTGGTTGCTCTGCAGAACTGTTGGTCTGTGCACACATTGTTGCACCTTCTGTAGAAGCATGCTGATGGATTTTTATTTTCATAGCCACGTGGTTTGAACCTGCCTAAACCTCCTGTCCCTCCTCAAGTGGAAGAGGAATATTACACCATTGCTGACTTCCAGACCACCATCCCTGATGGCATCAGCTTCCAGGCAGGAATGAAAGTAGAGGTGAGTCTGTCACTTGCGCTCCTTGCATCTTCACTTCCTGATTCCCATTACTCTGGGACCTCTTCCAGGCAGGAGCTCCCTTTCCAGGCAGAAAATGCCAGTGTTCTGGGTGGAAACCAAATACAGTGGTGTTTGTGGTCACCTCTGGACACTAATGTCACAGGCTCTCCTACAGGAGGAGAGAAACCTGTAAAAGCTTGGGAGACTTTGGAGTCCCTGGTGTTCTTGTGGCCTTCTGTTCCCTGAGTATTGTGTTATCTGAGCTCATGGAAAGTGAAACTACATGACAAATAGGGGTATAAATGGCATTCTTTTTATTTAGGCCAAATACAACACTAAAAGCCCAGAACTGCTTACTTAACACAGCTGGTTTCACAGAATCCCTGTTGTAGATGTGATTTTTGTTTTTCGGACTGTACACTGTGCTTTCCCTATAGGATTTTTCTTCTATGGTTGCCCCCCCTTTGCTCATCCCATGTCTCAGTCCCACTTCAGCAGTACACTGAAACTGGCCAGCTGCTGATCAGCGCGGTGACATTGGGTTGATCATTCCAACAGTGCCGCACAGTGGCCACTGCCAGCACCCAGCATCCCAGCTGTGTCTGCTGCGGCATCCTTGACGTGGCTATTTAATTCTTCGGTCATGCACGTCCCCTTAGCAGGATTCCCTCCTTTTTGGATACCAGTCTTGTGCTTTTCATGCTGAGCTGAACATGCAGTTGGAAAAATGTTGTTTTCTGGATTTTCACATGACTATATGGTATTTGGATATCAAGTGAGGGAGGCAAAAGGCTCAAATTCGTGTGTCACCATGATGTTATTTCGGAGATACCAAGCATCCCCTTTTTTGCAGAGTGCATGAGTGCACGACTGAGGTTTCCTTTCCTCCTGCAGGTTATCGAGAAGAACCTGAGTGGTTGGTGGTACATTCAGATTGAGGAGAAGGAAGGCTGGGCCCCTGCTACGTTTATTGATAAATACAAGAAAACCAGCAATGCGTCCAGGCCGAATTTCTTGGCTCCGCTGCCCAGTGAGATGGCCCAGCTCCGGCTTGGCGATGCTGCAGCAGAAAGCAGTGCCACAGAGGAAGCAACAGGACCATGCAGGCCTCTGCCGGAGGCTCCTCCAAATGGCATGGACTGTGGTACGAAGTGGGCCAAGGACTGGAAGGGGAAGGAGGCTACTGAGAGCGGGGACCTGGCCTTCACTTGTGGCTATGAGGAGATCTCAGACCGAGATGTGGAGGAGAAGCCCAGCCTGCCACCCAGGAAGGAGTCCATCATTAAGTCAGAAGGCGAGTTGCTGGAGAGGCAGAGGCCTCCCCCCAAGCCTCCAGGCATGATTTTGCCAATGATCCCCCCGAAGCAGTCAGCAGCCCCAAAAGACAGCAAGAAGCCTGAGCTGAAACCTGAGAAGACCAAACTCTTCCAGCTAAAGAATGAAATGGGGCTGGAATGCGGACACAAGGTGTCAGCCAAGGAGGTGAAGAAGCCAAACCTCCGGCCCATTGTCAAGCCAACCAAGCCAAAAGCTGAGCCTGTGGAGGACAAGCCTGAGCCGATCACTCAGAACCCCTTCTTGAAGTCAAGACCTCAGATCAAGCCCAAACCCGCCGCGGCCCCTCGGACTGACCCTCCTCCAGCTGATGACAAACTGGATATCTGTAGCCTGCGGAGCAAGCTGAGACCTGCCAAGTGCCCAGAGAAGCCCCCTGAGCAGGATATCACTGCCAGCGAAAGCTCCTGCAGTAACCCTGCAGTTGCCCCAGAGGCTTCTGGAAGGTTTCAGGAGCGACCGAGCATGGAGAGCAAAGGCCTTCCCAAATCCCCCCCAGGCCCAGCCGTCGCCCTGGCTGCTCGTGAGCCCGCACCGCAGCGCCCGGTTGTGCCACCCCGCCGGCCTCCACCGCCCAAGAAAATGACGTCTCCTGTTGCCAGCCCTGCACCTGAAGCCAGGGCGTCCCCACTGCCAGGGAGGCCCATGCTGGTCCCCCCCAAAGCCAGGCCCTTCCTGTCTGCCGCCATCCAAGATGAAGCCAAAGTAAAAAGCAGCGTAGGCCCAAAGGTAATATCCAAAGCAGTGGAGAGAGGGGAAGGAAGGGAGAGGACGTCAGCCCCCTTCTCCAACCCAGACGTCTCCAAGGAAGCTCTGTACGTGGCAGTGGCGGATTTTGAAGGCGACGAGGAGACCAACAGCTTTAGAGAAGGGACTTTGTTTGAAGTGCGTGAGAAGAACAGCAGCGGCTGGTGGTTCTGCAAGGTCCTGACCGGGGGGCCCTGCTGGGAGGGCTGGATCCCTTCCAACTACCTGCGGAAGAAGCCATAGCCTGTCCTGTTTACATGGTTGGAGGTTCCCCATTCTCCCACCTATTTAATTAGCGTCTTAATTTATAGTTTTCCATAAGGCTGGCTTTAAAAAATAATAATAATTGAAATCCCATACATTCCAGCTGATGCCCCTCTCCTGCCCTGAGCTCCTGCTCTCTCTTGGCCTGGCATAGCAGCCCTACATGTGGGGTACAGTGGCCAGCGCAGTTCTCCATCCTGGGGAGAGCCGTGGTAGATGGGTTTTGCCACCTGTACAGGGAATTCAAGGAGCAGCAACAGCCAGGGAGAGAAATGCAGCTTGGTTTGGTATCAGTGAAGGAAATGTGGCCTCATGGATGGATTTGCTTTTCACTGAGGCTCAGGGTCATGATTGAATGTTGTATGTCATATTGCTTAGTCCAAGTGCGTAGCGGAGTCATACAAGACGTGGCAAATGGGGGGGGACCATTGCTCAGAATGGTGTGTCCCCATAGCTCTGCATGCATGTGCAGACATGAATACACGCTGGAGGCACTCTGGGCTCTGCCTTGCTTTTCCCTGTGCATGCCATGGGACAGTCCCATGGTCCCTCCCCACTCCACGATGACAAGTGTTAACTTAAACATCCTCCTGGTGGGAAAAAAAGAAGGAAAAAGAAAAAAAAGATGTGCATGCACACATACAGGTAGCAGGTCCTCTCTGCTGACCCAGGGCATGATGCAAACTGTACCTTGCCATATTACAACCAAACAACAAGAGGTGTTTTGCTTCAGTAGCTGAAGAATACTATGCAACACACAGAGGACCATAATCACCCCAGAAGCCCTGGAAAGAGGATGCTTTGCTTCCCTTCTGACACAGACTGCACTGCCTGTTGGACTAATAGGGGACCACCTGTTCCCATGACCCACTGAGTTTCCCAGGGCTGGCAGGCAGCAGCCAGGTGGGTCTTCCAGTAGGTGCTGATCTTATGTGCAATCCAGAATGTGGGAGCTCAGCTCCTCATCGCATCCAGTTGTGAGGTATGTCTGGTGCTCAGGTGCTCCCTACTTTGTCACCCCAGCTTTCTGTTGTCCTGTCCCCAGGTGCTTTCAGCTCACTCTGTGTGTTGGTTGGCTTTGGGGGCATCAGATCAAACAGAGCCAGTTTTATTTCCATGCTGATACTGCTGCCTGATGGGCCTGATCCTGCTGGCAGTGGTGTTTGTCCCAGTGGAAGAATGAATGTGGTCTGCTTGGCTGCCTCTCCTTTGTGCCACTTTCTTCTCTTGCAGCTTCAGAGCCACGTTTCTCTCTGGAAGAGCTTCATGCCCTTTGCTTTGGTGGGTTTGTGGTTGACCAAGCTTGTGTGCCCTTGTTATTCTAATTGCAAGTGGAAGTGCTGCAGATGCAGTTCTGCAGCCACGTTGTTTGGCTGCTGAAAACAATAAATGTTTTACTTTTAATTTGAGGTTGGTGGAATTGAAGACACTTTGCATGCCAGAGCAGTGCTACCCACGCCCCTGTTCACCTCCTGGCTTTCTGCCCTGGAATTGTGGACTTAAAGATACATCTTTCTATATGCAAAAGGAACATGATGGGTCCTCTGGCCAGGGTTGCACAGGGAGGGTGATGGGCGGTTCATCCCAGCCCCACTGTAGCTATAGGGAAGCCCTGACCATTCCAGCAATGCCGGAAGCCCAAAAATTCATTTAGGTTGCAACCTAACCGGGTAATAGATCCCCATTAAGAGGTGTTGATGTGTTCCCTGGAGAGTTGCACAGTGGCTTTGGGGAGAAATACTGCCTTGTTTCTGCTCCAGTAAAACTCCTTTGCTGTGGCAACGAGTGGGGCCAGGCTGAGATAAGGCAGAGCAGCCCAGCTGAGCCATGTGGGACATAGGTCCCCATCCCCTCTGGCTGCTGGCAGTCACAGTGGGGTGACAGCAGTGTGCCCTTGTCCCAGGACAGCACATCCTTGGTCCTTCTGTGCTGAATGTTCTAACCCCTGAAATGTCTCTCCTTTCTCTGCCTCGTAGACCTCACTGATCCCACTGTTCCTCACCAAGAACAATACTCTTTCTGTTGCTTCCAGACTAAATGAGGGCTATTGCTGCTTTCCTCCCAGACTGGGCTTCAGAACTGGTAGTGCTTCATTTTGCTGACACAAGTACTGTATTTGGCTCACTGAACACATGACAGCATCGGTCTTTTGTTCCCAAAGAGCTTCCCAGCATCAGAGAGGTGTCATCCCCAATGTGGCACTGGCAGCAGGACCCTTACTCCTTCCTACCGCTCTTCTGTCTGCAAAGGGACAGCAGCCCCAGGAGGAAGGTGCCATTGTGCTGGTGACACATTTGGTGGCCACGCAGGTGTGCCAGCCCTCTGTGCCTCTGTCTGGTGGTACCTTGTGGGAGGCCCAGCCCCCAGCTGCCTCGTGAGGAGGAAGAGGTTGGCCCGGGGTACTCAGGCAGCTCAGCGGGACCAGCCTGGGACTGGGCACAGGGGGATGTGGGGACCTGGTGGTGGGGGCTGGAGACCCCAGCTCTGTCTCACTCACTCTCTAAGCCAGTGTGTCTGTCCATGTCTCGCTGTACTCTGTAAGCGTGTATAAATCTGCATTACTGTGGGCGGGCGGGGGTGGCAGCGGAAGATAGATGTAGCTGTGTAAATGCCGTATCTATACTTTCACCATTAGGGGTTGGGTTTTGTGGGTTTGTTTTTTTTTGTTGTTTTTTTTTTTAAAAAAAATTCAGTTGGGTTTTGAAGTTTTGTTTTTATTTGTTGGTTTTGGTTTTTTTGTTGTTGTTTTTTGTTTTTGTTTTTTAAGAAATAAAAAGAAACTGCTTGACTGGTTTCAAGCACCCCTGTGACCCTGTCTCTGCCTCTTGTGTGTCTGTGCTGCTCCTGGGCCCCAGCTCTGCATAGGGACTGCTCTGGGCACTGCACACAATGTCCTGTAGGACATTGCAAGGGTGATGGTATCCAAGAGCCCTGAGCACAGGCTTTTGTTTCACAGTCCTCACACCCAGATGCTATGGGGCAGTGTGTGTATGTGGCCATATGAATGGTAAGGCTCAGGAAAATGCCTTCTGGCATTGTGCACACATGGTGCTTGGTCAAGGGGGGCCTTGGGGCAGGCTGTCACTGTAGGATGAGGGCAAGTACAGAGGATAGGAATGGGCAGGGTCCCTGCATGCTGTCCCCAGGACTCACACAGGTGTGGTGCAAGCTCTGAAACTTGCAGCAAGGTCCTACTGGCATCTCACAGGCATCAGTCCCCCAGCACAGGCTACGAAGAAGCATTCAGGCATCCATGGCCATTGTCAGCTTCCTTCACCACCTGCAACTCATAGGAGTTGGAGTGCAGACAGTTCAGTGTGGCTGTGTCCTTGCCAGCACACAGTTATGAATGAATTTGTCCACTCTGCTGCAAACCACATCCAAGGCTGCTGGCCTGCTGTCTGCCTGCAGCTGCCACAGGATATGAACAGCTACAGTGCACGCTCCTGTTGGCCTCTCATTTAAGTAGAGTAGCTCTGCAAAACAGAAAGAAAGAGCAAGGAGCCCCAGCAGCCCAGTGTGCAGCCCCATTAATGTGGCTGCAGCAGGATCTGCCCCTCTTGTCCACGGCCCTAGGATGCACTGTGCTGATTACTGCAGTGGTTTGCCAACTTCTCAACAGTTTGAAATGCCAGGCAGCCCTCTGTACTTGCCGAAGTTTTATTTGTTTCATAAACGAGTAAAATTATATTAATGTAAAACAGGTAAATGGACAAAAATAAAACACACACGGCACTGATCACAAGGCTACAGAGTACTGACATGTAGAAGTGCAGCTCCCCCCCCCGTGCGTCCCCCCACCCCAGTCCCAATGAGTTGCTTGAGAAGCCCAATGCAGAGGTCCAACGTCTGAGTCAGCTTCAGCATGTTGTGCAGATCACAGGACTGAATCATAAAGGTAGCAAGAGAAACTGCCTCCAAAGGGGGAAGAAAAGGGGTTCCCCTCACTGCTGTTTTTTCCCTCTCTTCCTCTTTCTGAGAAAAAAATCAAATCAATAGGAGCAGGGGGAAAAATCAATGGAAATAAACACTATTTTGCTACTATATTTTTATATATATATATGTAACTTCATATACATATATATAAATACAAAGCAGGCTTCTTGGTGAACACAAAACTCTACAAAACTACCATTGATCTGTGTAATTTTCTCCCCGTTTTATTTTAAAAGTTGCTTTTAAAAAGGATAAAAAGTGCACAGACACCCTTATAAGGCACAAACAGATCTTCTGTACAAATCATGTATCATCGGACTGTTTAAAAAAAATAGCAATACGAGTACTAACAATTAAATCTGTTAAAGGCTGCCTTTTCCTGGAAATCTTTTTGAGGGGCCTCTGCCACTGATTTCAGAAAATCCCTGTTGCTCTCTGGCAGGTTAAGCCCCCACTGCTGCCTGTTACCCACTGTGCTGGATGCTGGCTCCACTAATTCCCCCCAGGAACTCACTGCTTGCTGGGTGCTGCCCTCCTGGAAATCAATGGTAGCTGCAGCAGCAAAAACCACCCCTCTGCAACCTGCTCAGGTGGTAGTTTTTGCTATTTCTCCTTGCTGGCTTAAAATATAAGAGCTGCACTAAACAATGAACCAGGTGTGCAGTCAGCCCTGCTTGTTGAAGACCTGAGGTGTCAGCCAAGCAAATGGGCTACGTGCATCATTGTAGCTGAATGCCAGCTCCAAACAGAGCAGGCAGCCCTGCAACAGGGAGTGTGGGGACAGCCACTGGCATCTGTTAGTCCAGTGTGATCCCAGCCAGCATCATTTGCTGTGAATTCAGCTGTCCTTGAGCTCCTCCTCATGCAAAGAGGACATGCACAGCAAGGGCACAGGGCAGCCCACCTGGCCAGGTGTCACCCAGCAGCCCCAAACTGTGCCACCACAGCTCCCCATGCTGTGCCCACTAACTAAGCAAGGTGTTGAGCTATAAAGGCTAGGCTAAGCGAGAGTGAAGGACCAAAAGGCAGGCAGCCTTGAGGTCATCACCGCAACACTTCAGCTGCTGGAAAACACCTTGGCCTCTTGATTATGCAAAGGTGGTGCTGTACAGGAAGGGATGAGCCAAGTTTCCCAAAAGGGCCCTACAATACTAGCAGGCACTCATGTCGATGAAGCAGGATCCCATTCTAAAGCAGCCTCTCATCTATACACTTAATTGAAAAGCTCATTAGCTCTTTAAGTTTTAAAACAAAAAAAAAGTTTTCTCTATGCCCTGCCTGCTGGATGTATGTGGGACAGCTCACTGCCCCCAGGGAGAGGGAGAGCAGCCCCACAGCCCCCAATGGGCAACGTGACCCGGCCACCAGCAGCAGAGAGGCAGCAGCACACCCATGGCATGGAGGGACAGGAGCATCTCTCTGCACTCAGTGGCCCTGCAGCACATGGGTTGCTTTTCTCCATTTTTGGACTGAAATGTGATAACTACACCTTTCTTACTCACTTGGTGGCACACAATCACCGAGCTAAAATGACATCAGCCCCTCTTTCAGCCTCTGGTTTGCATCCTGGAAATGCAGCCAGGCCTGAGTCTTGTGTGGGAGGAAGCCTGCAGGGGGACAAAGGATAGGGGAGCTCCTGTGGGAGTGTCAGGGAGGACACCAAGCCCTGCACAGACCCACTCCTGCCCATACACTTCCCTCCTCCTCTAGATTGCTGCTGCTCATGGCTGTCTAACACCACAGCTGAAATCCATTTACCTTTTAAGTCTAATAA